GCTAATAATTGAGTGACTTGGAGGCCGCTGTTAAGGGTAAGCCAAATCGAGGAATTATTTCATGGAGTAATTTTTAACTGTTACCTAAGCGGTTTCGGTTTTTGGCAGGAATGCCTCAGCCCAGCCTGAAAAAGTGTCCACTACTACTAACAGATACCAATACCAATACTTTCCAGACTTTACCTCTATGAAGTCCACTTCCCCAAACTCACCAGGTGAGGTTCCTCCCAAAGTGCCTTCTTCACATGCTCCAGCTTTCCAGCATTTATTTACCTGTTGGCAACTTTCTATATACATTACATAGGCTTGTCAGGCCGAGACCCCACTGATTTTCAATATAGTTTTAGGCCGTGACCTGGGGCAATTTACCAGGGTGAGAAATAACCAGATATAAAGAGACAGAAGGCTTGAGCCTGTAACCATTTTTGACAAGTACAGTCTCCACATTTATACACTTGTTACCACTGTTTTTGCATCTTCCTTTAATCTTAACACTAGTAGCTTTAGAGGCCCCACTAGTTTTAGGGTGGCCTCCCGAGCTACCTGACCAGCCCGGTTGTTTCCCTGAACCTCAGGGGTCTCTAGTGTCTTTAACTCGTGTTTAGTGCTCTGAACCTAGTCTGGAGCTTGGAGACTTTTGTTATATCACCCCCTTCTCTCTCAAGCTTGCTTTCATGAGCCCAATCTCCTTCTCAAAGTCCTTAACCTGCAGGTGTTCTTCCAGGGTCACAGAAGAGTTCCTTTGACTGTCCAACTGCTGCTCCTTCTCACAGCACCTTTGCTTGCTCTTCAGCTCCTCTAAATTCTCAATGGTGCTATTGAGAGGGGTCTCTTCGCACCTCCACCTGTTCCATGGGGGCCTGCTGCTTCTGCATTGCATTATGGTGAGGATCTCGGCAGTCTGTTTGGCCTTTTCCTCTAGTAGCTTCTCTTTGTTTTTCTCTTCAGTATATTTTTGTGACAGACCTTTCAACTGTTTTGTTTTTCTGCCTAATGTTCTTTCCTTTTCCCAGGAATTCCCCATCAGAGTGTGTGTGGCCTTTAACTCTATCTGAAGAGTAACAATCTCTCTTTTTTTTTTTTTTTTTGTCGGTCGTGGGCCTTGAACTCTGGGCCTGGGCGCTGTCCCTCAGCTCTTCAGCTCAAGGCAAGCGCTCTACCACTTGAGCTACAGCGCCACTTCAGGTTTTCTGGTGGTTTATTGGAGATAAGAGTTTCATGGACTTTCCTGCCCGGGCTGGCTTTGACCCGCGATCCTCAGATCTCAGCCTCCTGAGTAGCTAGGATTACAGGAGTGAGCGACTGGCGCCCAGCAGCAATCTCTTTCTTGAGCCTGATATTTTCCTGTTCACTTTTCTAGGCCTCTTCTCTGACATGGCACTTCTGTGTCTGCTCCACTAACTGCTCTTTCAGTTCTTTCTCTGTTGCTTTGCATTTCTGCTCATACTCTTCAAAGCTTATAATCGGCATGTACTTCAGCCTAATACGTTCTTGTATCATGTCCAGCTCCTTTTTCTGCGCCTTGAATTCCATGTGCAGCATCAGGATCTTCTCCTGGCCTCGCTTTTAGTCAGCAAAGACAGCAGCATTGGCATCCTGTACCTCCTTCAGCTGTGGCCCCCAGCTTTGCCTCATGCTCACCATGGCTGATATACTTGGATTTCATTTGATTCTGAGTGTTTTCCAGGCTCATTTTGAGGATTTGTTCTCTTTTTTTTTTTTTTTTGTCGTGAGGCTTGAACTCTGGGCCTGGGCACTGTCCCTCAGCTCTTCAGCTCAAGGCTAGCACTCTACCACTTGAGCTACAGCACCATTTCCGGTTTTCTGGTTATTTATTGGAGATAGGAGTCTCACGGTCTCTCCTCCCCGGGCTGGCTTTGAACCGTGATCCTCAGATCTCAGCCTCTTCAGTAGCTAGGATTACAGGCGTGAGCCACTGGCATCCGGCTTGTTCTCCTCTTTGACTCATGTGTTCAAATCTTTTCTTCATGTCCAATAATTCTCTCAAGTTTTCTCTGGTGTGGTTTTCAATACACTTGTAACCTCTTTGTGGATTTTGACTGGGACATATTGGAGATTCAGTCTTTTTCAAGCCAGTGTCACATTTTTTTCGTTGAACACAGTTTCCAGGTGGCTAACATGCGTACTTAACCTCCTTCAAGGCACTGTGCCGAATTCGCTCCCTTTCCTCCCAGGTGAAAAGCACCTGTAAAAGTTGCTGACAGTCATCCCAAGTGGGCTGGTATGTACAAAATACTGACTCTAATAAGGAGATGAGTCCTGGGGTTTTTCAGAAAAGGACAGATTTTGCTGTTTCTAGTTATACAGGTCACTAGTTGTAAACGGAAACATACACAAGAAAGAGGACTTGCCCACTGTCTCCCCCATGCGCCTGTTGCAAGGGTAATAAAGGGGCTGTACCACCTTGTACCCCCTCAGGCTGGTACAAGGAACCACTTCTAGTATGGGGGGACTTAACATCGGAGGTGCTGAGGGCTCAGAATAGGAGGGAGCGTACACCAGTGTGTCTTCCTCCAGGGGATCCTGTAACACCAGGGGAGATTTTTTAGTTACAGTTTCACTTACGAGAATTTTAGGATATTGTTCTGCCATCCTGGAAAAAAAAAGTAGTATGCAGAGGTGTATACAGGACACAGACAGAACCAGTAAAAACACGGACAGATTAGTAGCCACAGACACTTAACCCACATGTTCCACATCTCCCAGATGACCTCCCAACGAGATCCCACATGACCTCTCAAAAGAAGTCCCAGATGTCCTCTCGAGGAGGTCCCAGGTCGCTTCTCAAAGCCCCAAATTACCTCCAGAAGAGTCCCAGATGGCCTTTTGAGGAGGTCCCCGATGACCTCTCAAGGAGGTCTCCAAAACAGGCTGGCAAGCTTGCCCAGAGTCACCCCTAGAAGGTTCCCAAATGACTTGTCCATTCTGGTCCTCAGGAAACAGTTGAGGGAGGTTTTCACCCCTGAGGGCTGAGACACTCACCTATGAGGGAGTTTCCCTTGGGCCAAGGCCTAATATCATCCAGGTGGATTATCTTGCTGGGGCCTCCAAAACTTAAGACCTCAAAAGAGCGAGACAATCCATCAAGGCACAGTTAAAGATAACAAATTTATTTACACTATTTACACCAGAAAAGGGGCCTGCGACTACCTTGTCCTGGGCTAAATACCCAGAACCAAGAGCAGCCTCAACCACCAAACCTCCAAGCCTCCAGTAGGCAGCCCTGACCTTTATTAGTTGGTCTGCAAACCTCCAAAGCTCCAAATGGGAAGGTTTTTCCCTTTCTTCCCTTCTTCCTTCTCTGCAGGCCTCTCCACACTCCACAGGCCTGCCCTGCTCTGCTCTAGGAGGTTCCTCTCCACAGGCTTCTATAGAGGGAGGTCCAAAACAGCCTCCAGGGGAGGCCCGGAATGACCTCCAGAGGAGGCCCCAAATGGATTCCTCGAGAAGCCACAAATGGCCTCTCAGAGGCTTGCCCTGCCCTTCCACAGGCTTGCCCTGCTCTGCTCCGGGAGGCATCTCTCCACATCTGCTCAGGACTCGTTTTTCCCTTACTCCCCTGGGGCCTCAGATAGGCTGCGCCCCTCCCTCACTAATAGTTTCAAACAGCCATTCATACTCCTCCCCCAAGCTGCCCCCTGTCCAATCCCAATAGGCAGCTCACCCACCATGTGGGCCTTGACACCCCACCTCCTCCAGTAGCATATCCCGCCTCCTTTTGGCAGCATGCCCCGCCCTGGATGGCATGCTCCTCTGGCAGCTGGCCCCCATAGGGCCATGAGTCAACCTTTGAATGCCAGTGGCCCAGTGAGTACAGCAGTGCGGCTCACCGCTTGATGCCCCACTCCCTCCAGCAGTCGGGGCCCCGCTGATTATCGGGGACCCACAGGTTATTACAGAATGGCAGTTGGAAAACCATTAGGGGGAAAACCAGGAGTCATGAGGAGAGTAGGGGGAGGGAGGAGTACAATGAAGTGAGGGAAAAGGGAGAGCGAGTGGGGAGATGGCGGGGGGGGGGGGGGGGGGGGGCAGGGGGGCAGCCTATGGAAGTAGGGCAGGGCAGGCCAAGCCTCAAGAGGCCATTTGGGACCTCCTCCGGAGGTCATTTGGGACTTCCTTGAGAAACCATTTGGGGCCTCCTTGGGAGGTCACTTGGGACCTTCCTCTAGAGAGGCCTGTGGAGAGGCGCCTCCTAGAGCAGAGCAGGGCAGGCCTGTGGAGTGTGGAGAGGCCTGCAGTGAGGAAGAAGGGAAGAAAAGGAAAAGCCTTCCCCTTTGGAGCTTTGCGGACTAATTGGTGGTTTGCAGACCAACTAATAAAGGTCAGGGCTGCCTACTGGAGGCTTGGAGGTTTGGTGGTTGAGGCTACCCTTGTTTCTGGGTATTTAGCCCGGGACAAGGTAGTCGCAGGCCCCCTTTCTGGTATAAATAGTGTAAATAAACTTGTTATCTTGAACCGTGCCTCGATGGATTGTCTCACTCTTTTGAGGTCATAAATCCTTCTCTGCAGGCCTCCAGAGGAGGCTCCAAATGGCTATTAAAGCCCGACCAATTCCTCTCAGAGTAAGCATGGGCTATTACAGAGGCGAGGGCTCTGCAGAGATGCCTAACCCTGCCCCAAATCGGGGTTTACTGTTTCTTCAGCGTACTTCGACTCTACACCCCTCTTGACCTCAATCTGGATCAAGGGTCTCAGTAACCTTTCATTCTCCACCACCCTCGACCCAGGATTTTCCAGACCCAGCTCAGACCGCACAGGTGTTGAACGCCTCTTCCAACGGGGAGGAACAGCATTTTTTCAACACAGCGGGAGTTGGGAATTTTCCATAGCTTAAATGTTCCTTTGCTTCTCGCCTTTGGACAACGGAGAGCCAACTCCTAGCCCGCCAGCCCGTGGAGACTAAGATCCGCCGTCTTTCCCGCCCCACGTCCAGCGCCTGCTCCTGATAGGCTGTCCACGCTGCTCGTTTCGACAGGACGCTGTACGCAGACGCAGGCGGGCAGGGAACTGGAGTTAGTGTTGGCTCCGCGGCGGTGTCGCATCCGTCCAAGATGGTGAGTATCTGTTCGGGGCTGGTGGCTAGCGGATACCTGCCACCTCGAGACAAGTTAGCGGTCTTCCTTGGGAGGTCTCCGAACGGCCGGCGAGGGATGCGTGGGGCTGGGCGGGGATGCGACCGGACTGGAGAGCGGAACCCGGGAGCTGCGGGCCTCTCCATCCAGGCTGAGGCGGGGCCGCCGGATGTTGCTGCTCCTTCACCGGAAGCAGGTCCGCGCGGCCTGGGGTCCGACCCTCCCGGCCGAGTGTGTCGGTCTTTGGACGCCTCCCGCGTGTGCGGGTAGCATTTCCTACACGCTCGGGGCGGGGGCGGGGCACTGCTGAACGCCCTTTGGGTGTTGTTTCTCCTCCTCACGGCGCTGGGAGGTAGGTAGGGCCTTAGCGCGTGGGTTAAAGCCGAGCCTTGCCTCAGAAATGGCGGTGGCCGGACGTGCGGCGGACCCAGGCCGCCGCCGCGGAGCCCAGGCCTGCCTTCCGCCCGGCCGGCCGCAGTTGTGGGCGCTCTCGTGCTTGTCATCCTCCCTGGCCGCCACAGGATAGAGAAGGCCTTTTACATGGTAGACCGTGGGAATACCTTGCATTTTCAAAAGTCCCATTTGGAATGCAGAGGCTGTCGTTGAAACTGATGAGAAATAAAGAATGCTCGCCAGTCAGGCGGGTCACTGCTAGCCTGATTTTCATTCAGTCTAACTATGACTGGATCTGCAGTCGTGGGTTCTGCGTTTGGCGCAATGCTACCACAAAGTCTCCATTTTGTGAAAAATAATGCTTCAGATATTTGTAACTTCATCCTTCACATCACTGTTTGAACAGTAATATATGTGTATATATGGAAATAATTAGAAAAAAATGTAAATGTAAGTGAACACCCAACCCTAGGTTCAATCTCAATCAGAAACAACCAATGCTAGTTTGTTGTATAGTGATACAGGCTTCCCTTCGCTTCTAATACACAGAGGATCGTTTTCTGCATTCTGTACTGTCGTGTTCTGGGTTTATACTCAAAATCAATACCTATTTAGATACAAATTGTAAAAAACCCAAGCATCGGCTGGGAAGGTGGCTCAGTGGTAGAGCGCTTGCCTTGCATGCATGAGGCCCTGGGTTCGATTCCTCAGCACCACATAAGCAAAAAGAAAAAAGCCGGAAGTTTGGTGCTGTAGCTCAAGTGGTAGAGCGCTAGCCTTGAGCTGAAGAGCTGAGGGACAGCGCCCAGGCCCAGAGTTAAGGCCCCACTACCAAACCCACGACCGGACCCAAAAAAAAAACAAAAACAAAAAAAAACAACCAAAAAAACCCCAAGCATCATTGCGTTATATAATATAGAAAGTGTACATAGTTCCTTTGTTACTGTGTTGTGGTCAATACTTCTGATAGTTGGCTGTCTTTCCAGATTTGTTTAGTATATAAACATGCATACACACACACACACATTTATGTTGTCCATTGCATGAGAATGGAATATGCTTAAACATGGTAAGTTTAAGCTGTATGTAAAATATACCTCATTCTGCCGTTTGTTTTGTTCACTCATTATAAAATATTTTACAAAACCCTAGGTTTGAGCCCCAGTCCCATTAAAAAACAGATAATTTTCATGTCCATGTACACAATCCTACTTCATTTTAAAGCTGTATAGTTCTTATTTCCGCATACACATTAGGTAGTAGCTCACAGTTTTCATTCCAGACAGTGTTGTAGTAACTGTTACTGTTTGTTTGATTTTTAAATAATTCTGATAACAGAATAGAGTCTACTTTGTTGGAAACTGCCTAGCTAGAACAACAGTAGATCTTGCATAATTCTCAGCCAACAGAGCTGTTTTCTTCTTTGTATGTTCTCCTTTGTCCACATGTACATGTTTTCAAGATGTGCATGCTAGTTTTTCATTTTTGCTTAATGTCCAAAAACATTTTTTTAATTTTAATTTTTTTTTTGTTTTTTTTTTTTGCCAGTCATGGGCCTTGAACTCTGGGCCTGGGTGCTGTCCCTCAGCTCTTCAGCTCAAGGCTAGCACTCTACCACTTGAGCCACAGCAGCACTTCTGGCTTTTTTCTGCTTATGTGGTGCTGAGGAATCGAACCCAGGGCCTCATGCATGCAAGGCAAGCACTCTACCACTGAGCCACCTTCCCAGCCCCTTAATTTTAATTTTTATTTTTTGTGAACATACTGTACAGAGGGGTTACAATTACATGGGCAAGATAATGAGTACATTTCTTATCAAGCATTGCAGCCTCCTCCTTTATTTACCCTTCACATCCCTTCCCAGCCTCCCCCCCGCCCCCCTGTCCAAAAACATTTAACCTTGTTGCTGCATCATCTTTGTATTTTTAGTGATCACATACTATTTAGGTAAATATTGTTCTATAAGTTGTAAAACAATTTCCCTAGTGTACATATGGCTTCCAGTTCCTAATTAGTAGTCATAATGCTGTGGTGATGCTACTCTGTATGGTTTGTTTTGTGTGGTGTGTGTGTGTGTGTGTGTGTGTGTGTGTGTGTGTGTGTGTGTGTTTAGAATACTCAGGAAAAGAATTTCTGAGGCAAATGGTTCAATACTTTCATGGTCTTTACAATAAATTGTACGGCTTTTCCAGAAAGGCATATTGAGTCCTGTAATTTACAAAAGTCCTGCCTTTACAAAAGAATTTCAGCATTGTCAGGGTTTTCTATTTCCTTCTTTACAAGGAATGACTCTTTTTTTCTTTTTTCTTTTTTTTTTTGTTGGTCATGGGGCTTGAACTCTGGGCTTGGGCGCTGTCCTTGCGCTCTTCAGCTCAAGGTGAGCACTCTACCACTTGAACTACTTCTGGTTTTCTAGTGTTTTGCGGAGATAAGAGTCCCACAGACGGGGCTGAGAAGGTGGCTCAGTGGTAGAGCACTTGCCTTGCATGCTCGAGGCCCTGGGTTCTACTCCTCAGCACCACATAAGAAAAAAGCCAGAAGTGGCGCTGTGGCTCAAGTGGTAGAGCGCTAGCCTTGAGCTGAAGAGCTGAGGGACAGTGCCCAGGCCCAGAGTTCAGGCCCCATGACCGGACCCAAAAAAAAAAAAGAGTCCCACAGACTTGGGGCTGGGAAGTTGGCTCAGTGGTAGAGCGCTTACCTTGGATGCATGAAGCCCTGGGTTCGATTCCTCAGCACCACATAAGCAAAAAGCAAAAAAGCCGGAAGTGGTGCTGTGGCTCAGGTGGTAGAGCACTAGCCTTGAACTAAAGAGCTAAGGAACAGCGCCCAGGCCCAGAGTTCAGGCCCCAGAACCGGACCCCCCCCCAAAAAAAAAAAAGAGTCTCACAGACTTTCCTGCTGGCTTTGAACCACAATCCTCAGATCTCAGCCTCCTGAGTAGCTAGGATTATAGGTGTGAACCACGGGCACCCGGCCATGACTCTTTCTATGTGTTTGAAATTTAGGTGTATATTCTACTTCCTATTGGATTCTTGGTGTTTTTCTGAATAATTTTATGTGATATTTTTTGGAATTACTCTTTGATGCAAATGTTCTCCTCTGTGATACCTTATTGCTTACAGAGATTAACTGTGACATTGGTCACAATTTCCTATGAATCCTTTACTTCAAATACTTAAACCTCCTGTGCTGAATCAATAAAAAGCCCTGGAATGTTACTGCTGCTTATATTTCCATCTGAAAGCCCCATGGACCTATAGTAGAGAGGGACTTTGTCTCCTTTCCCCATTGCCTGAGTACATTTTTTTCTCATAATTTAACTTAGCTTGAAGATAACATTCTCAAGTGTTCCTGAGCACACTATCCAGAGAAGCATCTTTTACCCTTCAGCTTATCTCTTGCCCTGTAAGAATCTTTTTGAATTTATTGCCGAAAGCTGGTGGGCTCATGCCTATAATCCTAACTACTCAGAAAGCTGAGATCTGAGGATCATGGTTCGAATCCAGTCTGGGCAGAAAAATCTGTGAGACTTTTTTTGGGGGGGTCTGGTTGTGGGGCATGAACTCTGGGCCTGGGCGCTGTCCCTCCACTCTTCAGCTCAAGGCTAGCGCTCTACCACTGAGCCACCTTCCCAGCCCCATGTGAGACTCTTATCTCCAGTTAACCACCTAAAAAACAAAAGTGGAGCTGTGGTTCAAAATGGTAGCACTAGCCTTGACCAAAAAAATAAAATCCCAAAGACAGTGCCTAGGCCCTGAAGCTCAAGCCCCAAGACCAACCCCCCCCCCAAAAAAAAAAAAAAATTACACTGAGCTCTCTAAGGGCAGGCACTTTATTAACTGTTGTCACTGGTATTCAGCATTTGGTTTCCCCATCTGGTCTGAAATTCCTAAATTCTGGACTTAAACTTCGCCTTTGTAGTGCTGGGACCACAGGCACCGGGTCCTGTGCTTCCTTTTAGCTTGTACTTTAACCTTTATATGCTTTTGGTCAGAACCCTTCTTTGTGGGGCTGGGAAGGTGGCTCAGTGGTAGAGCGTTTGCCTTGCATGCCTGAGGCCCTGGGTTCGATTCCTCAGCACCACATAAGCAAAAAGAAAAAAGCCGGAAGTGGTGCTGTGGCTCAAGTGGTAGGGCACTAGCCTTGAATTGAAGAGCTGAGGGACAGTGAGGGACAGTGCTCAAGCCCAGAGTTAAGGCCCCACAACTGGACCAAAAAAAAAACAACCCTTCTTTGTAAACCTAAGTTTCCTTATCTGTAAAGTAGAGATAATCCTAATCATGGAAGGTGAATGAGAGGTTCAGATGGTAGTATAAAGCCCATGTAAGTACTCAATACATGAATATCTATGTACATATATATACATACATAAACACATACACACATCTCAGTGGCTGTTTCTTTTTATTTTTTTTTACTTTATTAAAATACTGAGTTTATTTCCCATGTGTATTTTGTACCCCCCCCCCCCCCCATTTTCACATCTGACCATCACTTCTGCTAGGTCCACCATAGCATTCCACACATACTTAAGGCCAAACACAGGGTGGAGCTCTGTCTTTAAAAACTAAACAGGCATTTTGGACAAT